ATTTTAGAGTGTAAGAATGGGAGTGTGTCAGATGATGGGTACTCAGAGCCACACAGAGAGGAGTGCAAACTGCAGCAGCAAAACACAAGTGCCAAATGAACACAAAAATGAACAACTAGAGGCACAGCTTTCTTGCTTTTTCCAGTAGGTAAACTTAAACTATGAGTTTAGCTTACCCAGTCAAAGGTTAATAAATCTCTGCTGTGATCAGAGGTACTACAGAAAGTGCCTGACCCTCCCAGTTTCACCGTTCTGGCTTTATTGTAGTGCAGCGGCTTATAATTCCTGGCTTAACGGTGGTACAACAGTGCCTAGAATCAAGCCCACCAGCAATTAATAATTCAAAGCTAGACTAAACACCAGCAGTGAGAATGAGAAGGTAGCCACCAACAGAGACTGCCTAATGAGGTGAGCCTCAGGTGACTTTACAGCTATGGTATATCATGCCAGTCATCAAAGCTTGGATCACACAGCCAGCTCAGGTATGTACTGGACCCCATTCAGTCCTGCTGCTTTCTGCTCCTGGGTCTCCCAGAGACTCAACACCTGGGAGAAAGCAGAGGGCACTGGCAGAAGGTCCTTGGCCTGTATTATAAGATTACATTCTTCTCTGGCTTTACTACCTATGAGAGCCAATTATAGCATTCATAAGCACATTTTCCCCCATTTAATTCCATTCAGAATAGCTATGCACTAGATCTTACACTAACTGCCTTGTGCTAGGGAAGTGTTTCGGTTTTTTCTTCTCAGACATAGCAGTCTGCTGAGAAAATGCAAGGCTAAGGATTGTTCAAAGCAGAGTTTGTTGGAACTGGCCAAACCAGTGTGGGAACTGTGTGCTGTTTCTTCCTCACTGTAGGGATCAGATCTCAAAGTTCACTGTGTTGGAGTTTCTATTTAATCACGTGGACACCCTCAAATCCATAAATAGGCTGTAATTTAATGTAGTGCATATAAATTTCTGCTAATGGGTTCAGCAGTGCCCCTAGACACTGATATTCTGCACTGCAGTGTCCCTTTCTAAATCAACAGACTGATCAGTTTGTTCTTCTGATCTACTCTTAACCAAACTACCAGGGACTTCAAAAGGGATTTATGAAGAAAAAATGCCCAGTTACCTTATGAGAACATGTTTGTATGCAAGGAACAGTCCTGAACCATTCTGTCACCAAATTTCTTGCAACAGATGAAGAATTTATTTGATGTTAACCCTTGTAAAATTACACATGGAGCAAGAAATCCTACAGAAGTCTTGGTCCTCAGCATCCCATGTAAGCACCATAGCAAAAACTTTTTTTGCTTGAAGCTTCACCAAATAAAGGTGGTGTGCAGAAGACAACATCAGCTAAGAGCTCCAACTGTAGTGATGATGAAGACGCTCAGCTAGGGCACGGATGGCAGAGCTTTGCTTCACTGGTGCATGGCGTGTGAACTGGAACCCCCTGCTCTGGTAAGAAAGTTCTCCTGGTAAGAATCATAGAATATCCTGAGTTGGAAGGGATCCACAAGGATCATCAAAGTCCAACTCCTGGCCCTGTGCAGGACACTCCAAGAATCACACCATGTGCCTGAAAGTATCATCAAAATGCTTCTTGAACTCTCGCAGGCTTGGTGCTGTGACCAGTTCCCTGGAGAGCCTGTTCCAGCGCCCAACCACCCTTGGTGTGAAGAACCTTTTCCTAATATCCAACCTAAACCTTCCCTGACACAACATCAGGCCATTCCCTTGGGTCCCATCACAGGTCACCACTGAGATCAGTGTCTGCCCCTCTTCTTCCCCTCACAAGGAAGCTGTAGACTGTAATGAGGTCTCCCCTCAGTATCCTCCAGGATGAACAGACCGTGCCCTCGGCCATTCCTCACACGGCTTCTCCTCCAGGCCCTTCACTATCTTCGCTGCCCTCCTTTGGATGCTCTCTAAGAGCTTCATATCTTTCCTATATTGTGGTGCCCAAAACTGCCCACAATATTCAAGGTGAGGCCATCCCAGTGCAGAGCAGAGAGGGACAATCCCCTCCCTCAACCAGCTGGTGATGCTTTGCCTGATGCCCCCCCCCCCATCATTAAACTCCATAAGATTGGTGATTGCCCATCTCTCTAATTTGTCAAGGTTTCCCTGTAGGGCCTCTCTGCCCTCAAGGGAGTCATCAGCTCCTCCCAACTTAGTGTCATCATCTCTGTAGTGCAGGTCCAAATTAGAGTCAAAGTGCAGGCTCCAGTTCACCTCTTCCAGAGCTACAGGAGTGTTCACACCTGAACATAAACAGTCTGGAAAAAGAATAGTTCTTCTTCTCTGATGTACGTATTTAAACTGAACATCAGGATGTGAATAAGTAAACCTCTCCAAGCTCTTAAAGTACATGTGGTTCTTCCTTCAGACCACAGGCAGTGCCACTGGCTTCTCTCACTTGGCTTTGGGGAGCTGGGTCCACCTGTAGCACAGACGGGCACTTAGCCACTGCAAGAATGCTTGACACGATTGCTTTGTTTTCTTAGCACTTTGCAGACATTTATAAAACTCCATTCAAACCTTGATGTTTAAGTATTTGACTCAGATGTGATTTATGCTTTGCCAAATTGGGTTTAAAAAACTGCTTCTATAATTTGATAGAATGCAATGGCAGGTTTTTAATGACTTCACCTGATAATGAGCACTCTTGGAAACTATATCATAAGACACTGCTGAAGAAGAATCTCAGCATGAGTTTTCTGGTAAAATGCTTGCAATAAATCATTCAGTTTTGCCCACAAGCTACTGTATGCTGGGAAAAGGTTTGAAACCCTATTTCTAAAACATTTTTGAAGGCAACTGACAGTTAGAGTAATACATACTGTTAAAAAACCAGAGACACAGTTACACCTTCAGATGAGAAGCTCACACAAGTTGACATTTGGACAACTGCCAATTATTTACTTCCCCTTATTACCCAGTGATTTTTGACAGTTTCTGTCTGCAGAGGCTTCATACCTTTTATACAAATGCACATTCTCATATTCAATATTAGTAAAAGGGAATTTGGTAGAAAAAGTTAGAATCCAACTTCACTGTTTACTAGAGAAAAAAATACTTTTTTTTTTAAGAGTTGAACTGTGAAATCAATTCCAGCTTCTGCATAAGGAACCATTCAGAATGTGTAACACTATTTTCCTCTCAATTAGCACTCAGTAAAATTGCACATTTCAGGGAATTGAAATACACAATGTCTCTTATTAGCATCAAGCTATAGGTTCATATTAATGGACATTTGGCTCTGAAAAGATGATTATTGTGACCTGGAGAATTTGCAGGTTACAAGAGACAGAGGGAATAAGAAAAAGCAGCAGAAATGAAACATCTCATTAGAGGACTAATCATAAATGTTATCTAACCCAACTGACCTTTTACCTATTTAGTTGTTATCAACCAGTACATCAGTTCATTGCTCTCATGTGTCACAGACGCAACTCTTGCAGAAAATGAAAAGGGGGAAAAATCTCATAAGGACTCTGAACAATTTCATGGAAAGCTCTCCGAATTATAAAATCATTGCCTGGGCTCATAAAAAAGCCCTGCAGGTGGAAGGGACTGAAATAAGCCTACTACTCAGAGATAGGAATGTCACAGGGACTTTGTTAAAGCCATCAGAAAGTATCACAGAACAAGCAGGGACATGAAAATCTTGGTTAAGGATCTACAAAAGAGAAGGATGAGGAGGAATCTATGGAAGTGATTAGCAGAAACTCTGCTTCAATTCTAGATGCCCAAGACACCAAGTACCCCAGGACACACATATGTAAAATACACACATTTTTGTTTGCATCCTCAGGCACAAATTGTATTCAAGCTGAACAGCTCCACTGAAAAAGGTGCAATCTACCAGAGCTCCATTACAGCTATCCCTGACTGAGGATAAAATAAAAATAGGACAAGGATTTGGTGCCTGGGAGAACAGAAACAGCTGGGAGATGACACAGACTAAGCAATTACTTTTACAGATGCATCACTTTCCAGCTGAAGGAAGCAGTTCTCAGTGCAAAGCACAGATAATTTCAGTGTCAGCACACGGCTCACTGAGCACATGGGTTCCACAGCAGACTTGCCGCTGATCACTCGTGGGCACACCACAATGGCCATCCTGTCTGTGTTTGTTGGGCTTATATCCCCAAAACTATGATGCAAGCTGAGCAGGTGAACAAACTAACAGTTCATCCAACCTCTTCCTTTTAGCTTTTAGTGAATTTTGAATTTCAAAAACACCTTAGTCCGCAGGGCTGGTTTAATTCTAGACACTCTCACCAGCAGTGGCACAGCAAGCGTCAAGAGCCGTGGCCATCCCTGCACCACCAGGTATCTGTGTCATTCTGACTGGTGTTGGTCTATAGGCTGGCCATAGGCTCACCCCACTGTGGAAACACAGGTCTTAGGGCAAAGTGCACTACAAGGACCTGCATTTGCTTGCTTAAATTGGGGGATTTGTACAGTAACTTTGGCTGGCAGCAGCATTCTGCACAGCAGTACACAGGGGTAATGCAGGAAGCACAGCTAGCTCCCCCTGTCACTGGAACTCTGTGAACAGTCCCGTTGACTTAGCTGGGATGATCCCCGTGCCAAAAGACAACATGTGAGGGAAAGAATCGAGGGGTCTTTGACTTTCCACACAGAAATATTTCCTGCCATGCTTCAGTGCCCTGTAGCATCACGTTCTTCCTTGCTTGGCCTGCATTTAAGCAGCAGTGAAGAGTTCTCAAATTCCCTCCCCAAAGTCTTCTGAAGGTTAATGCCTACTGAGTGCCTTAAAAGACTTGGATGAGAAAGGGCTGTAGTAGAACACAGGATCAGTGAAGCATTTTGATGAGAATGTATAGTATGATTTACTAGAATAAAACTGCCTAAACTGTGCTCACAGCTTCCTTCAAATGAGGGGATGAGACATGTCACAGGACAGCAACTCACTTCAGCAAAGAGATCAAAGTTACACTCACGTTACTTTTCTTTCCTTATTAAAAAAATAATCGAGAGCTGTATCCAAAATCGCCTTTTTATTGCCACTTATACAGATTTAAATATTGAACATTCAGATAAACAACTATCTGTATTTATGCAGATTGCTATTAGTTACTTCACCATAACCTGGCAGAATCTCCCTTTCCAAATTCTGTAGGATTCCTTCCAGCAGATCCTGAAATATTCGCTTTGCATGTTGGCATCTCACACCAAAAGGATATTCTTTTTGAGTGAGCTATATAGTGGTTAATGAAAAAATTATTACACAATGTAGACTTTCACAGTAAGTGACTTTTTTTGCAAAATAATTTGAAGATTCCAAGTAAGACTTCTCTCTTTTATTCAAAAAATAAATATATCCTTTCTGAATCAAAGCACTTCATATGACATTAAGTACAAAGAAGAAATGTACTTCTTTGGAAATTCTGAAGTAGACATACAAGAGCTCATGGGAGCAACATTATCCATATCAACAATAAAAGCTGAAAGCTGATTTTTTACAAATTTATAGCAGAACACAATTTCCTTTTACAATATAGAGCTTCAAACAGATTTAAGAAAAACACCATTTTAAAAGTCTGAAAGGCACATGAACTGGGCCATAAAACGTACTGGCACATTCACTAATACGTTTTATGTTACATTCCTAAAGAGAATCCGCAGGACCCTAACCAAGAGAAAGACTGAAAATACCAGCAAGTTCCTTTGTAAAGTACTAAAAGAGTGGCAGAGAGTTCCTTTTGGCTCTTGGTAAAATTATTAATACCCCAAAGCTAGAGAGTCTGAAAAGATGCATCATTCAGTTGTATTTGGACGAGTCGCTACATAAACAAACACAACAATCAGCAGTACTACGACAGCCAGCGTGGGAAGCACGACCGTGGTGATTTGTTGCCGAGCCTCTTGCATTGCCTGTTTTCTCTCCTTTTTATCTTTGGAGGTCTCTTTTTTGGGTTTTCCTCTTAGCTGCCTCATCCTCCTCCCCGGATCTTTTGTTTGCCGAAACGTGGGAGCAAAGGGAGTGGAACAGCAGGAAATAGTCCAAGGTCTTTTGAAATAAGGGGCTGAAGAATTCCTTCTTCTTCAAGTGGTTGGCTGTGCAAGAAACTGCAAGAGAAAGAACAATTCATATTCCAGTTATTAAAACCATTTACTGTCCCACTTGGTAAATCTTTCATCCAACAGACACTAATGCAGCTTCTTTCAAGGAAAGAGAATTTCAGTAAATTCACTCAGATCATCCACGTAACGCTTTCCCCTTAAAAACTAGAGCAGTTCATCATGGTGTGTATCTGTCCAAGAGCCCTGAACTTGCACTCTGTTAAGCCAGAAACAGAGCCTGGCACCATACATTTTATCCTCCAAGGCAAACAAGGTAACACACCTGAAGACTTAATGAAAATAATATGAATTAGTCTTGTGTCAACAGAGGGTACCAGCTGCCCCTTCTTTCAAACAGCAGCAGGGCCCCTGCTCAGGGGCTGTAGCTCCCCACAAACCTGCAGAATGAGGACAGGCAAGCACACGCCCTACCATAAGTGTTTATCGCCCACAACAAGTATTTATTGGAATAAAGGGTATTCTAACAGGAAGAAATGGGGAGAAAGATCTGCCTGATTTAATATTTCTGGTTCTGCTGCCACAGAACAAAGTCTAAATCATAACATGACTCAGTGCTGTCACTCTTATTGCAGCTGTCATTAATAGAAGAAAAAGAGCCCAAGCGATAACCAGCCTGCTTACAAATCACCGGTGTAGACAAGCAGTCATTAATAAAGCAGAAGGCTGTTGCTCTGAAGCATCTACTAGACAATTTTTAAAAGCAGAAGTATCTATAATGTGAGATTAACAAAAACACAGCATGGTACAGAAGCCTGTGAAATCAGGCAAATTAGTAGGTGCTTAGCATTTCCATACCCAGTTTTTTTGCTCCTGAGCTGCCTACAGAGGGGCAATTCCCTGACTGCAGTGAGGGCGGGTGCCAGCCCTTGGTTACACTCCTCTTTGCTACATCCCTGGGTTCTGCCGCGGCACAACAGCTGGACACAGGCCACACGTCACTAAAAACAAATTTGGACAGTAAGGATTACTGGTGTCAAATCCTGAGCTGAATTGAAGTAAATAATGAACTCATTTTTTTCCATCACTATAACATACCCAGAATAAAATGTACACAGAAATCGGTGGGTTACTGCAACTCCCTCTTTTCTTTCCCTCTTATTTCAAAATATAAAGATGATTTTAATGTGCTGCTGTAGGTGAGGAGCACATGTCATCAAGCAAAGCTACAAAGCTCTCTCAGTTCACCCCAGACACAACTTCCTCTTGATGTCTCATCTCTGGTCAATGCTACAAGTTGTCTTATGACTACTTTTTTTTTTAAATAGCAAAGAGGTTTCACTGAAAATTGGATGCTTTCTGGTGGTGTTAGCACTCAACCTGATTTGTCAGCCCAATCACAAAAGCGAAACTAAACTAAAACATACCAAGCAACAATCGTCACCTCTAGGTTATCTGCTGCTACAAAGGAGTTTTCACCCTTTCTCATAACAGCAGCAACCTGCCTGCTGTGAATCTCATCCAGCCAATTAGATTAGTGAGATACTGCAGCATTTAAGGTAAAATGTGGAATAACTCTGCTAAATTGAACTGCTGGAATCAACCAGACTATCAGAGCACAAAACCAACAACGGATCAAACCATCAGTATTTCTGGCTTTAAATGGTCCTTCCTGGATACAATCTAAAGAAACAAACAGTGAAAACAACAACAAAAAAGCACACCCTCCCAAAAAAAAAAAAAAACAAAGCTCAAGCATGACAAGATCTCAGTGTTCAGCTGGATTCATCGATTCTGCATCCCCTGCGCACACAGGCAGTTGTTTTGCAATCATAAACTTTGCAAATTCAACTTATGCTTTAACGCAAACTCTTCATTTTGGTTTTGATAAAGCACAGGAGGGAAATTTTGATGCTTGGGATACTTTTCAAAAGAGGAAACAGTAAAGTGAGAGTCATGGAAAGAATTAGTTCCTTCTACACGCTGCACCATTAGAATCAAAATATGTAACAGATTTAGAGACCAGAAGTGGTCAGTGAACTTTGTGATGGAAAGGTAAACAGGAGCTGGATGGAGAAACTAAACACAACACCTTGTATCGATCTTTTAAGCAAATGGGCCTACTTAATTTTTAAACTTTCATAACTTTCTTGCCAGCAAATAATCAACTCTCTTTGTGATTCAGGGCAGAGCTTTTGGTATTCCACCTTCTGCAAACTATTGGTTTCTAGTTTGGTTTTGTTGTTTATCACTTCTCTAACTAACTCCTGAATTTCCTCTAGGGCAAAAGAAATCTGTTTTACCCCTTCCATTTCCATTCTCTTCTCTTGCTCTGGTCACAAGCTTTAATACCAAACTCTAGAAGAACTGCTATGCAAAATAAAGTTTTACATTTGTCCTTGGGGATAATCAGACTACCACAGCATTTCAGGCTGTATTTTTGTATTATTTTCTGTCTCCACTGTTAGTGTACATCAGTGGGTTTTGTATCCTGATTACTCACAAGACCCAAGAAGTGACAGACAGTAAAAGCCTTTGGGACTTCCTGTGTACCATAGTAACAAACAGGAGTTGCCATGAAACCAATCTCTCTGACAATAAATGTATGCCTTGCTCTAAGCAGCATCACTTGCTAGCCAGACATTAAAAACATCAGGATGTTTTTTAAAGTCTCTTTTGAATGAATATTTCATTCTGAAGCAAAATTATACCAAGTTAATTACATACACTAGCTAACATCTGACAGCTTAGAACAGAAAGCCTTCCCGCAAATGTCAGCACCACTTGAATTGCAAGCTGATGCTCTCCAGTTTGGGAATCTGGCATCAATTTCCAAATATGTTTCCAGTAGATTGGGTTGCTTGGCTTTGCTACTGGCAAAGATGGACTCGCGTAGAAACTGGCCCACAGTTTTCAGAGCAATGAGCCTTAGGGTTCATCTTAACTGAACCATAAAATGGAAGCAGTGAGTCTCTGCAAGACGCTGCCAGGCTCCTGCTGCCACCAGGCGCCAGGCTGTGACTACCAGGATCGGGTAGTTGCTGCAAGAGACAACACTTCCCCACAGGAAAAGTCTGGCATATTGTAGATTCTGCTATGTTCATCTTGGTAGGAAACAGCACTGAAAAACCAGTGCTCAGCGGGATATGAGGAAATTCCATAGCTCGTTGTTGTACACAAGCACAGTAAGGGTGCCACAGCTATCCCCTTCTGCTGCCAAGCCTCCTGCCAGCCCCCATGGACTTCACTGACTACTAAAAATTATGGAAGGTAAGGAACAGATCCATAAAGCACATGTAGTCAGTGACAGGGACAGGATTACAACATTAGGGTCTTGCTTCGTATAGCGTACACAGCCCATGAGAACAAATTATCTGATGTTACTGAGCTATATCCTCCTTCAGCCAGTAATCACCCGGCTTGTGCACTGGGAAGGCTGAACTCAAGTGAAGAGAGGAAGGAAATAATGTGGCATTGGGATGGGTGTAATTAACAGATTCATTAGCACTTGCCCATTTAAAACATTTCAGAGCAAGTTGCTATCAAAAGGTCCACGAGAAAGTGATGTCCCATGGGTACTTCAATTTTGTGCAAGCTCTAACCATCAAACAGCTGCAGTAGAACTGGAAACTCACCCTTCCTCCTCTAAGAGAGCCTGAGAGTCTCCTTTCCATTTCAGTCTAAACTGCACAGGAGAGGGCTCAGCGCTGTAGATTGTACACATCCTTCTAAGGCTCCTTCCCATCTCTATTTAAACTGCTCAAGCATCAGCTGGATGTTTGATCACCAAACTGGAATCACAAGGCTGGAAATGATCACCAAATTAGTTCAACTACTGATTTAACTGGAAAGTAAGCAAATCCCTCAACTGGGACCTAAGTAGAACTCCAACAGAAGGTACAAAGAGACTCTAGCGAAAGTAGCATATGTGTAGTCCACAACACTGTGTCAGCAGCCTGGCACTGGCCAGAGACTTTAACCCCACCTTCCTTTTATTAAATTTGCAATTTAAAATTTGACAATAAAATTGCATAGGGCGATGAGATTACTTTTAAGGTCACTATAGCAAAGTTTCCCCCCAAAGCAGGAATCTGCTGGCTAGAAATAAACAATCTTGATTGCCAAGTCAAGAAAATGAGTGTTGACTTGGTATAGTTGTTTGAAACACCCATTTCACAGAGCCTACACGAGCTTCATCCTGAAAAACTAAGGTTTCAAGCAGAATAAAACATTAAAAAGTTTAAGCTACTGAAGAGAAACCTAAAGACATCATTCTTCAAGGTAATAAAAATCCACAAATTTAGTAGTCCGGCCTGCCTGCTAGAGAAATTACACTCCTCCTTGCCCATCATCCACATTGTTTTTTATATACAAAAGTGCTCTTCATTCTATCTTCTGGGTTAAGTTACTCTAAACTGTTTTTGCAGAGCTAACATCACAACTCAGAAGCATGAATCAGCTGGACTCACTAAAGTCAATCATATCAACATTGAAGCGTTTGCCAGCATTTTAGAGCAAGTCAGCTGTGGCTAAGCAGCGATAATTTTGTACCAGAAGTCTGTAGTGGAACCTGTAGGGACTGGTATCCTTCAAAACATGTCAGCAATCTTCCAGTCAGACTTATGGCAGTCTGTCATCTCCTTTTTTTGGTAAAACTAACTCCGACCCTTAGTAATCTGCAATTTAAAGCTCTGAAAACCACACATGGCTATTCCTGCGAGCCTTGAAAGGCATCCTTGACTCCAGCTACACCAGCACTTGAGGAGTATGGCAAATCTGGAAATCACTGTAGATGCAACACACACACAAAAGGTTTTGTTTATGTGCACTTGGTGTAATTGCACGTCTCAAAATGTCTAAAGATCTTACTATCACCAACGTTACAGCATGAACATACTAATCATGTGTCTTAAACTGACTAATTTTTTTCCAAATCCAAAATTACAAGTGTTTGCAAGCCAATTTGGATCAACCTGGCTTCGTGATCCTGAAACTGACGATGTAACGTTTCTGGAACAGCAAAACAACTTGAAATTCAAATAAACAAT